CATTTTCTATTTATCAAAGAACCTTGAAATGTATCACATTTTCCCCATAAATATTAGGCAGCATAACTGTTAAATATTGATAATAATAAAGCATGTTATTTGAGCACCAAATCAGCATATTAGAATGATTTCTGAAGGATCATGTGACACTGAAGACTGGAGTGCAGTAAGGATGCTAAAAATTCAGCATTGCCATCAGAGGAATAAATTACATTTTATAAAATGAAATAGAAAACAATTATTTTAAATTGTACTAATAGTTATGTTTTTTCTGCATTTATTTTGAACAAAAAAAATACAGTAAAAACAGAAATATATTAAAATAAGTCACATTACAGTTTTCATATATATATATATATATATAGGCCTATATATATGAAAACTATAATGTGAATAATTTTAATATTTTATTCCGGAGAGGGAGAGGGGGGAGAGGATTTTTCAGGAGTGATGATATTACTGCGCCGAGTCGAAGTGCTCCCAAGCACTTGCCATGGTATTCCGCCATACATTATAGTTATCCATTTTATTATTCCGTTTTATTTTGTGTCACCATTCTTGGTCGAGTTACACTACTCGTGTAACTGTATTTAAATAGGGAAAACGTGGAGGTGTTTGATCGCTTCTCTGCTTGGATCCTAATGAATGAACTGGGCTAAGCTAAGTGCTAACAAAGTTTCGCCGCGAGACGGAGCGATTTAGTGCACGCACTGAGACGAGAGAGGTATGTATCAACTCGTCTTAGTTAAGGGAATAACATAGTTTAATATGAAAAAACGGTGGAGTATCCCTTGAAGTATCCTGGTAATTTGTGCTTATTGGCATCATCGGGTGCTGCGGGGTTTTTTTTATTTACTTTTTTGTTGTATTTCAATGAGTTTCTCTCTCACATACTGATGCATGTTTCTGTTCCAAATACAAAATACACAAATAACTATCATACTGTATATAGACCCATATGTCATGTTAAAACCTCTGCAGTAGATGGGTGCAATTTCCATCAGTATTATAATTACCAAGTCACAGAAAAGTTTCAAAAACTCCTCTGAAATTAGGTATCTTGTTTCATTATGGTCTTGCACAGTGTTTCTCAAACCTGTCCACCCACCAGGACCCCCTTTAATGGTCTAGCAAGTTCAATATAAGCCTATAAATGATGAGTTGTGCAGGACTGACACTGAATATCATTAAACATGATGACATGCCAAGACACTGATGGCTTTTGAATAATAAGCATCTGCTGAGCTGTCTGAAAAAGAATCACTGCACAACCCATATGGAAATCACAGCCATGCTACAGACTGTGGTTTGCATGGGAGTTTGAAAATGGACAAGTGATGAGGAAGTGTGTTGATGGGAAAACTGTAGATAGACAAACTGCCTCACATACTTTTTTCTTTTTTTTTGTCGAGGAAGGACATCTCAAACATTAAATACCTTGATGGTGTGGCAGTAGCAATGTTTATATGTATGCCAATAATCCAACACTATCTCACGACCAATTCGTACGAATTCGTACGAGTGATTAAAAGGTGGCTAATTCGTACTAATTCATAAGACCTCACTCGTACGAATTTGTACGATTTGTCTAAACCCACGTGATGGGTAGGTTTAGGGGTGGGGTCAGGGGTAGGTCATTCGTAGGAATTCATACAAATTTGGTAACTCGTAAAATATGTACGAATTAGCAAAAATCGTACGAATTTGTACGAGTGAGGTCGTATGAATTAGTACGAATTAGCCACCTCGTAAAATTCGTACGAATTGCCGTGAGATCGGGCTGAATAATCTGATTATTGACAATAATCAGAATAAGCAATTACTCGCATTAAGATTTTACATGACTTGAGCAAACCTCTTTAAATCTGTTTACATGTCATTATTTTGATTATACACAAATAAATGTGGTTGTTTTATTGGCATTGTACTGTAACTGTGATACATTTCACAACCCGCAACACAAAATGTTCAATTGAAATGTAATAGACCGATTTGCTGCAAAAATTGCTTTCAAATGCAATTTTTTTGTCCGTGCTAGGATATCGGGCCTCCCTAATTTTGTCAAAAATGCTTAAAATGTCTCCATTCTAAACGTTTTTGATCATAAATAATACGCATGATGTCCATGGCCAGTAAAACTCTAAGCATAAACTTTATTTCCTGAGCTCCCCAGTTTTCAAAGCAGTCCATCCCTTACAGAAAAAACACATGAATTTCACATGTTATCACATGTTTTCCACATGTGCCCACATGTGACCACATGTGACCACATATGCCCACATGTGACCACATATGAACAACATGTCATCACATGTGAACAATGTTTCACCACATGTGAACAACATGTCACCACATGCAGTAATGTTCGACCACATGTGAACAACATGTCACCACATGCAGTAATGTTCGACCACATGTGAACAACATGTCACCACATGTGAACTTAATGGAACACGTGGCACATGTGGAAAACATGTTATAGGTAATAATGTGGAGCTCATGTGAAATATATTTGCACGTTGTAATAGGTTTTAACATGTGAATTATGTTACCACGTCACAAATACTGTACATTTTTAGCTTCAATAGCCTTTTTCACACAAAATGCATAGAACATAAAGCTTATAATGCATGTGTATATACTAACACTTATATACACGTATAGTTTTTAATGAGTTTTTGCAATACTTTTATTTCAACACTGTTTACCATTTCTAAAGCTATATTGTAAATATATTTTACATAATCAACAGTATATTATATTTGATATAATCAATAGGCTACTGCAAGCACGTTTTCAAATAAAATAAAGTGGATATTAAACTTTTCATTTTAAGTGCTGCATGATTTTGACGTGGTTTAATCAATGCCGTGCGCGTGAACTTTCGAGTATTTCAAACACTGGAGCGGCCGGCGCGCAGAGTTGCCATGGAAACGGCGCGGGACCACTGCTACTGGTAAGCAACAAAACTCCCTCTCTCGATGTTGTTTAAACTTTTCACGGCTTTTTCCAGGTGAGATTAGTCTCTAAAATCACACGAATAATACTCACAACTGTTTTTGACATTTCTCTTACTTGTAATTGACACGATTCTGTTAAAAATTTACATGGTGTAGTGTCTTCGGAAAAAGTCCGTTAGGATCTCAACCGTTTTCTGAAGAGGTAGCAGCTAGCTAGGCTAACGTAATGTTAACTCGGTTGAACTTTTATTTATTAAAGTTTGGGCTTTTAATCACCTCTTATGTGTAGATGAGAGGTTTTGTAAAGGTTTTACTTGGAAGTGAGCTAATTTATTTAACACAAACGTAAACATAACGTATCGGTGATGTTACTTTCAGGAGCAAGAAAATTGGCTGAAACTAACGTTAGCTCAATGGTAACGTTAAACACATTTTGATTAAAAAATGTTCTGTGATTTCAGTAGTAACAAAATAACCCATAACAGAGAGAAAGCTCCACGACTTCAACATTTCTGGAGAAAGCTGCTGCCGGAGAAGTAACGTTAGGACACAGGTGAGCCGAGGAAGCTCATTAAATAACCTCATTTTATTTCTCAATTTGTTTTTTTAAATTGTTTATTTTAAGAAGGTTTTGACATCCAAACGAAGTTACACCGTATGAGCAAAATTAAATGAATAAGTAAACCCAAAAACAAATTCTGTTATCCTAGTTAAGAAATTATATTCTGTATATTCTTTAAATTCTTTCTCTTTTCTGCATTTCACCTCTGCTGTAGCTTCTTTCCTTTCAATAAACCTGGCATTGCATTGTTGGCTCAGTGACAAATGGCTTGTTGTGTTCTTAGATCCTTCAGTGCTGATGCCCTTCAACGGAGCGGAGTGGAGCTGATCTTCATCTCTAAAGCACTATTGATGAACCATATGATTAGTAAGTAAAACGCCAAACATACACTAATGTCAAACATACACTAATTGTCTTGGTACAAATGTTTATGTCTCTTTCTCTTATGTTCACCAAAAAACATTAAAAACAATAATATTGTGAAATAATATAAATAAATAAAAACTGTTTTCTATGTGAATATATTGTAAAATGCAATTACTTCCTATGATCAAAGCTGAATTTTCAGCATCACAGCTTCACATCATCCTTCATAAATTATTCTAATATGACGATTTGATGCTCAAAAAAACATTTATGATTATTATCAGTGTTGAAAACAGTTGTGCTGCTTCATATTTTTGTGTTTTTCAGGATTATTTGATGAATAGAAAGGTTAAAATAACAGCATTTATTTGAAACAGAAATCCTTACTCTCTCTTTTGATCAATTTAATGCATCCTTGCTGAGTAAAAATATGAATTTCTTCTTTTTTTTCTGTTCATTTTTAAATCTATCATTGACCCCAAATGTTTGAACATTAGTGTAAACTACCCTTCATATGTTTGTGGTCTATTTAACAATGAATCCTGGAGGGGAAAAAATGGTTTAAACTGTTACAATGGTTTACACAAACACATTAATCAGCACAACTGTTTTCAACATTGATAATAATCAGAAATGTTTTGGATGTTTACATGGTAAGAATGTATAGAATTCAAATATAAAAAACACTGACTCGTTAGGTCATGTTTACTCATTAAAGTCAGATGATTTCCTATTAATTCAATAGAATATGGTGACTTCAATTTACATGACGTCATGAGCAATCAAGTCATTTATATAGATCAGTGAGTAGTGCCCAGCATATCCAAGTCCACTAAAGGAGATTTCTCGCATTTTACCCCTAAACTCTGGAATATGAAGGTAAAAGAGTATCAAGACTCGAGCATGAACAATAAATACTTGTATGCTAAAATTTACACTCACAGCTCCAAAGTGAAAACCTCACCTAATATGCAATAACGTTGAAAAGATCACGGTTTCTGTCCTGACGAAAATGTTCTATTTTTTATTTTATTTTTTGCTTTGCAGAACAAGTCTGTGACTGACTTAATGAACCCAGTTGCTTTGGATCATGCTCAAAGATGTAAGGGCTACAAAAAGTTAACCAGAACTCTTATGGACTCCATCTTCTCTTTCGAAGAGATGGCAGCATGAACGGAAAAAAAGGGGTTGTTGGTGAAAAAAGAGCCTTGACCTACAAAAGGTGCAGCTAATAATTGGTAAGCATGTCTGAATATCTTTTATCAATAGTTATTATATATGACAAGCGCTGAGCGCGTCCGTCAGCGCCAGCCATAGCGCGGAAAGCACAGTTTGAATCTGACAGTTATGTCACTTCATGTCAAACTTGTTTTCAAATTTTAATGTAATCAATCTCATTTCTTACAGACCATGTCAAAAAGAGGCACCCAGGCATCGGAGGCACTGAGATCAAGGTCTGCATGGCACAAAAGTTAAAAGATCTGAGGAGACGAGCAGAAAGGTAATATTCAGACGATCCAACATCCAAGTGTGATCCCCATGTGGTCTGTTCACATTTGCGAAACCGACATGCGCGAGGACTGATGACTCAGTTTATTCCTCAGTCTACATTGTGATCTAATCACAAACTGTCAATAGTTTTTTTTATAAATGAGACGCACCACTCGTCTTATACAGTTGTTTAAGCAAGATGTATTTCCATAGCATATTTACGTAAAACGTTTAATGACATAATAACATTACAAATGAATAATAATTAATTATTAAGCCCCATAAAAATGCTTTTCAGAAACCTACGGGGTGACGTCACGGACACTACGTCCATATTTTTTTTTACAGTCTATGGTTTGCACTGCCCTAATCTTTGATCTTTTTCTATCCCAAAACAGGATGCCTGCTGCAGGAGACACAAAGGACTGAGACAACACACTTTCACAAACGCACACCACACACACACACATGCGCGTATACCTGCGTTTTTTGCGGCTTTTTATGTATAATTTTAATTTGGTTTTGCTTTGTTTGTTTTAAACATTCAATTTGTATTGCATATTTTGAAATGAAATAAAAAGTGAAAAAAATTTTTTTTTGAATTATTTGTTTTAATGTTGGGAAACATTAGGCTATAGAGCCTACACAAGAACATGGTAGGCCTACCGTTTTCTGTGGTATATTGCTTAATGATTTTTACATGGATTTCACATGAAGTTACAGGTTTACATGGTGTGTAGCTTTAACATGGATTGTTGATGGGTTTCAAATGTCATTCTATGGGTTTCACATGAGATATTTTACATTTCACATGATATCTCATGGGTTTCACATGTGATTAAATGTTTCACATGGGAATTTTACGTTTCACATGTAAGCTCATGGATTTCACATGGGAATTTTGGGTTTCACATGCAATCCCATGGGTTTCACATGTAATCACATGGGTTTCACATGCAATCACATGGGTTTCACATGCAATCCCATGGGTTTCACATGTAATCACATGGGTTTCACATGCAATCCCATGGGTTTCACATGTAATCACATGGGTTTCACATGTAATCACATGGGTTTCACATGGGTTTCACATCCCATGGGTTTCACATGTAATCACATGGGTTTCACATGCAATCCCATGGGTTTCACATGTAATCACATGGGTTTCACATGCAATCCCATGGGTTTCACATGGGAATATACATGGGTTTCACATGAAAATGTTCCAAAACCACACGTTTCCCATGTGCAAATTACCTTTAACATGTGCAAAGCACATGTGTTCCACATATTTCACATGTTAAATTTCACATGTGCAAAATCACATGTCCACGTTGTCACATGGGATCACATGTGTTTTTGCACATGTGAAACTCATGTGGTTTTTCTGTAAGGGATGACACTAGCATGTGCATTTCGGTGCACAGGTTTTTTTTTTTTTGGGAAATGCACAGAATGGTTCCAAATTGGGTACCAGCTCTGACACCAGCACAGTCAAAAAGGGTTGGAAACATTCCTTTATAAAGACGTCTAACACCAGGAACAGCTAAAATACTATAAACATTATATGTGGATTCCTTTCATTTAGCGTTTGTCCCTCTCCATGCCGGAGGTCCCAAACCATACAGCTAAACCAACACAGTGAAACTCGTCTATCCCTACCTAGTGCCAAATGTAATTACAAATTCTTATAATAAAGGAACAAATATTTTAGTGCTGAGACTGAACAGCTGTAGAGCTCATAATAAAGGTCTGTTGAGAATTAGCTAGTACCATATGGCCACTTCACACTATTCCCACAGAAACAAGTGTTTATGATGCTTTTAGTTATTATCTGAACAGCTCAGCAACTACACAACAGAGGTTATTAAGTTTCGACTGCAAAATTTACCTTTTGCTGTTTTCGTTCGTACCAGAGAGAGCACTACAGAACTTTCCACACTTCAAAAAAGTGTGAAGGGTGAAAAAAAAATGGTCTATCTACTTCCTCCCGTACATTTTTAAGTATCAGTCTGCCGGCTGTCTTTTGCTCTGTTTCAAAGCCATCTGAAATTTTAAGTCATCATTAAACCACGCTCCCAATAGGAAGGCTATTCCAAAAGGTAGCCATCTTAATTATGCTGCCTCCTAAGATACATTGTTTTGGCCCAATTCTAAAGGTGTGGTCACATTTAACATTGTTAGTTAAATTTTACCGGTGAAATCCAGTCATTTCGAAAGAAATCCATGTGATCTGGAATTTCATGTGAGGGGCAAAAGATTTCAGAACAGGCTGACATTAGTCATGCACATAATCTCTGTGTTGACCAACAGAAAACTGCTTGGTTTAAAAGTGACCTCATACATTGCTACCACCATTGATACACAGCGACAATTAATTATTTTCGGTCATAACATTTCACAGAATTTATTTTTTTTAAAAGAAATTTCACCAAACGTTTTCTAATGTAACCACACTTTTAGAAAGCATCACATTTATACTTTGTGGCAAATGAGGCAAGAGAAACTCATTCAATACTAAAATGAATTGTTAAAAATACTTAAAAAATTACAGTGTAAATCAGATAAAACATTTTGGCCAGTATGTGTTAGCTGAGTATTTAGAGAATGTTTTCTTTTGAGGCACACCAACAGTACACATTTTTGAACAATTCCTTAAAAAAATGACTCATCAGCTCAGTAGTAGAGACTCCCAAGACCTGAAATGGATGGGTCAGATAGGTGAGACATCCATAATGTGTACTGTTGGTGTGCCTCCAGGAACAGGGCCGGAAAACCTTGTGCTGTTAGCTTAGCAACATGCTAATGACAAATTCCACTGAAATCAATTGCCTGTCGAGTCTCCCTTGTGTGGAGCGCTATTTGTGTTAAATTACTGCCTATGTAAAGCATTCAAAATCATTCTCTTATAACAGTTAGTTAGGATACTGCCTTGGAAGGCAGCTGCCCATTTAGGCAGCAGGGCTAGGTTTTAAAACAGACCTGTCTCTGTCTATTCCCTCACTGTGTCTAACGTTTTATCCGTTTCCAATCTTACCGCTCACTCTCCTTCTTCCCCTAGCTCACTCTTCACAATCTCTCTCTCTCTCTCTCTCTGTCTCCTCCCTCCACCCCCACTCTCTGTCTCTCTCTCAGATGGTAACTAGGCTGAGGTCAGGTAAGGTAATGGAGCGCACACTCTTACACAGCACTACCTCTGCTGTGGTGTCGGGAAAGCGGCTGCACTTCTGAATGCCCTTGAGGTGTGACCTCATTCAGGGCTCTTAGGAACAATCATGACATGAGAAAATGCTTGATATAAACGCACGCTTTTCAAACGTTTAATAACTTCATCTATTACTATCAATAACCAATAAATTACTACATTTGTGTAATAGTAAATGTTACAGCATAATGTGCATTCAGCTGGTCATTATCTCAGAATAAACCCTGACAGGATGAACAAGACACGACATGAAGAGTAAGGGACTTGTATCACACTGAAATGTTTATTTTGCAATAATGACTGTATTCATGCAGCAAGTTTTCATGCTGATTAACAAATAATAAATAGATGGACATGAAATGTGTCTCACAAGTAATGTGAAACTATTATCACTATACAAAACTATTTGAGCCATCAAGAATTCCAGAGAGCCACGTATTGACATAAAGGAATAGTGAATATCCACTATGGAAGCATATGGGTAGCAATATTCAATTTGAAATGTAAAATGCAAAATGACAATGCAATATGTAAAATGGCAATGCAATATGTGTATAACAATGCAATGCAAATTCATAGAAGACTATAGCCTTTTTTGGGTGAATGTGGAGCAGGTCGTGGGCTGGAGACGTCATCGTCTATAATTCAGTGTCTAATATAAAAAAAAACGAAGCAGCACAAACATTTTTTTTACCAGCACAAAACAGCACAAACAAAGCACAAACAAGTGAGACTATTTTGCGTGAATTTGGAGCAGATGGGGGGCTGGGTGACCTCAGAATGACCAATAAATATTATTTTGTATTAGCCTGACTACGTCAGACTTCGTACTTCCGCTCAATTTCATTTTGCTTCTGTACTCAGTCTGAGACAGCGGCCTATCTATCCATTTTCCTCCGGCCTGAAAACAGCCGGGCCAATCAACGAACAGAGGGCGGGCTGAAAGCCGTGACGTAGTCGCTAAGAGCAGGTTAGGGAAATCGAAAACGACCGCGGATATGGAGACGCGGATGCAATTCGCTCTGTTGTGGAGAATATTCCCGGCATTAGCAAACTGAAGCCCGAACAAGAAGAGTGTGTATTAAACATTTTGAATGGAGGTGATGTTGTGGCCCTACTCCCTTTGGGAAAAGTTTCATTTATCAACTATTACCGATCGTCAGCGAGAAACTGGGGAGCCTTTTGACAGGTCAGTGTCTCCTTTCTTTTCCAGGTCTCAAATATTGCCATGACATGCTGTAATCTTGCAATTAAGTTGCAGCATTTCCGACAGACTCGAGATGAACAAAGAGCTGTGTTTAACAGAACTAATCCTAACTTTGACAGTTGGCTGCAAATATTTTTTTGTTTCTCTCTACTGTCAAATATCAGTTTAGAGGCCCTGATTGTACCGTGGATGCGTAGATTAACTTCGCATAATCTGCAAAAGTCGTTTACAGCCATGTTCACTCCGGTATTTCGCTCGCATCATCAAGTGTTTACAGCAGGTTTACAGTGGAAGTTCGATCATAGATTTGAGTTCGATGCATGATGTCTGTGGTTCGATGCGGCTGTGTCGGTGCATAACATACGTCATATATAAACTTATCTGATTGGCTTCAATGATTTTAAACTTCAGACAAGCGCCCCCTAGCGAGAGAGAAAACACTTCTCTATTATGCCATTCCAGACTCTGTCTACGAAGCAAAGGGAAGTAGCAGAGTCTGGTTTTACCAGGCTAATTTTGTAGCAGAACAGATAAATATTATAGCAGAACAAACAAAACTTTTACCGGCACAAATGAAGCACAAACAAACGAGACTATTTGGGGTGAATGTGGAGCAGGTCGGGGGGCTGGTGACGTCATTACCTGTAATTAAATGTCTAATATCTTAAAAACCGAAGCAGCACAAACAAAACTTTAACCAGCACAAACGACCAAGACTATTTTATTTGGAGCATGTGGGGGGCTGGGGGACCTCAGAATGACCTATAAATATTCTTTTAATATCTAAAAAACCGAAGCAGCAGAAACAAAAATTTTTACAGCACAAACAAAGTAAACACGATTGAGCGGCCTATTTTGCCGACGTTTTGCATTGGGTGGGGGCGGGGCCAACTTCACACAGTGATTGACAGGGTGGGAGGGGACGGGGACGTGATCGGCTCGGAATGCGTTTTAAATTTGCACATTGAATTTTGCTACATTCATTGCGGGACATTTAATGAAAATGCAATCGGAAGTGTCTTAACTGTGAGTGTAAATACAATTAAGAAAAATAACATTTAAATGATCATTTTGCTACA